CAAAAGTTGATCATCATGAAGCATTACCAAAAAATTTTCGCACTGACCTTTAACGATGAATGAATAAATGAATGAACGAATGATAAGCAGCAAAAAGTCGGTTTTACTTTTAATTGAAACTGAAAGTGTTTTTATTCGAACGTTTTTCCAACTCTGTTTACAAGGTGGCTCAGTGCCTTCGTATCGAGGGTGGTTCATGGGGGTTTTGCCCCATTCGATTTTTAATTTGTTTTTTCTATATTTCGACTCTACTAGGGTGGGGAATGCCGTGGTTAAAATATTTGCACTTATTTCGCAGTCACCCTGTATGTTGATTAAGAATGTATCATGCTTATCATAACTTTAAAACAGCTGAAAGATTTCAAAGCATTCGGTTTTCCAGATTCACAATTAAATTGCAAAATGTTTTTTCAGAATTTTGATTTTTTTCCCAAAAATCTGGTGGTTTTGGGTAAAAACTCAACACAGCTTCATAAACTACATGTGGAGGACTATGTTATTTTATACAATTTAAATCCCATTTACTACGTACAATTTTGAAGTGACGTCATCACATTATTAGTGGGGATAATTAAACAAATTTTGGTTAGCGTTTTACCATCTACATTCCTAATATAAATACAAAATTTGACAACAATCGGTCTAGTACTTTCGGAGATTATCTGTCTAATAAAAATCCAGGACGGCAGACAGACAGACAGACGGACACGACAGACCTATTTTTTCGTCCTCTAGGGGTCATGAAAGGTCGAGAAAACGTAAAAGTGGAGAGTTGGCCGACGGGCTCGATTATAATGTTTCCTTTGCTTACGTTCGGGAAGTAAAAAGTTTAATTTTAAAATCATTTCTACATGTTTTCCTATTTAACTCAACGGCATCGAAGCTTGTTCTTGCCTACCGGTACGTGTTGGCCATGTGCCCTTGTGTAACCGCAGACACTACAAAACGCTAACCAAAATTTGTTTGATCAGCCCTACCAACTATGGTATGACGTCATCTCCAATTTTTACAATAGTAAATGTACTTTCTACTTGTATGTACGTCCACTTGTACTTTATGAATTCGTGTTGAGTTTTTAGCCTAAGCATCCATTAAAAAAAAAATCGGCTTCGCTTCGTGCGCTAAACTGTTTTCGTTGAATAAAATTCGTTTTTATTCACTTATACCATAAATAGCTATTTAGTTACTACAGTTATTACTTTTTAGTGTTACTGGTGTCGGTGGCAGAAAAAACGTAATACAATACTCGCTGCATAACTCCTTTCTTGGCGTTGCCTCGGCCCGTCAAATCCACCTCGACAAAAAAGTTTACTTACGCAGCTTGTAATGTAAATAACTACTATTAACAAATAACAAGTGTACGTTCTAGGATATAAAATGACCGTTCGGTCCACAAAATGGATACAGAGTGAGTGATGTTGTGTGCTTGAAGTATGAAGTGAATAATGATTGAATGGCGAATGAATGAAGAAACAGATTACCCACCCGAGGCACTAACAAACAAATTGATTTAATTTAATATTAATTGATTAATTTGATGATTTTAGTTTTAGAAGGCATATTTTTGTTAATACTACAAGCAAGATATTGATTCCCAAACAAAATTATTTTTATCAGTTTCCCGGCTTCCGCCAACAATCCGCCACTGATGTCGACAGTAAAACTTCGCATGGATTCGTAAACCACAAGTATGTTATTTTATAAAATTTAAGTAACATTTACCATTGTAAATTTTGGAGTTGACGTCACCACTTGTTGTTTTAGATGATCAGACAAATTCTAGTGAGCACTTTACTATCTACACGTTATTCCTAACATCCACTTAAAATTTGACAAGAATCGATCTAGAGTTTCGAAGATTACGTCTGTTTAATAAAAAACACTGGCGACAGATAGACACAGGGAAACGTGTGAGCTATTTTTTCGTACTCTAGGGATCATTAAAAAGCGATAATACATGAGAAATTCGATTCTCCACACAACTGATCAGTTGGTAAGACATCTGACTATGAAGTAGTTGATGCTAAACTATGGTTGAAGTCTGTTGTAATCAAACAGTTTCTTCATCTTTTATTAAATCCCTTAAAATATTGCTTAACTTGTATGTCAAAAATACGATAGGTACTTTCCCAGAATTGTGCAAGTCCTCGAATGTTGTGTGTAAAGGAATTCCAATGAAATAGAGAACTATCGACCGGTGTCGATAATTAATAACTTCTCTAAAATATTTAAATATCTTAAATCGAACCTTGTCTCATTTAATGTGAAACATAATATTTCGAACATAGTTTTTTGAGGGTAGGAATAAACCTGTGTACGTTCACAAAATTTATCTCAAAACAACTAGATTTAGGTTTACAAACTGATATCATTGTTAATAATTTCTCCGGGACTTTCGATAGGCTTAAATATTATGTTCTTTATTCCAAACTCGGACAGTAAGGTTGTTCTTCAAAATTTTTGAGATTGATTGGCTCCTACTTAAAGCTTTGTGTCTGTTTTCATGGATCTGATGAGTTTGTTGCGTTTTTTGGTGTTTCGTAGGGTCTGTGTTGGGACCACTTCCTTTCAACGTTTTCATTAATGATACGTTTACAGATTTAATATATCCCGTGTTTAATATATGCGGACAATCAAACCTACTCTTGACTATACGAGAACTGTTTAAACTTAAGAAAATTTTTAACAAAGTAGTATGGGGAAGTCTGTGAATTGTGCGCCTCTAAGCCAATTTGCTTGTAATTTGTGAATTATTAAAGATTAAGTTATCAAATTAAGTATGAGCATAGCCACATATGTTCTTTATAAAAAACCTAATATACAATAAATTATTATTAAACAATCCATAGATATTATTTAAAATGTAAAAGATTTCATTGCGCATGATTACACCGGTCAACATGAATTTTGAGTCTGGGTTCTGTATAGCAGATTCTTATTCTTTCAATACTGCTAAATAAGGAAAAAATTGTTTCATTAGAAAAAGTTTGCTTTTGTAGCTTTCAGAATGAAATTAAGATTTCTAGAAAATTTTCCTATTTTTACACATTTATTGCATGTAAAATCGGTAGTTATGCCCGTTTCGTCAACGTTAAATATTTTCGCAGATCAAAATTTGTGTTTTTGATAAATGGTTGTTAAATTTTCAAAAAATGTTTTCAATACGTTTTCATTAAAGCTACATATACAGTCTATACTAGCTGGCTCTGGTTTACGAAAAGATAATTCAGAATTTCGTCTTAAAAAACTGTAGTACCAATCTTTACCAGCCATTTTTCGGTCTTCATTAAAACTATGTTTAATGTCGTTGCCTTCAGCAAATGAGAATGCTAATTTATGTAATTGAACACGGCTTAATCTATAAAATAATCTACTCAATTTTAAAACATGTTTCTTCAACTCCTCTACTTTATTTTGAGGAAAAACAGGGCACCTTCCTAAACGAGGGTCTTTTATATCAAGCCCTTTATTTAAAGCTTTTAATGCTTTGCTTATAGATGATTCTGGTATTCCACATTTTCGACCAACCCCTCTAATACTGTTTCCATTTCGTACAAATCGTATAGTATTTTTCATTAAATTAGCACACCACCCTACCTTGTTTGATTTACAAATATATTTGGACATCTAAAATTGTTAAACACTAAAATTAAATTCTGAAAAAGGGTGTCGGCTGCGCACAATGTGTCAATAAATTTCTTTTCATATTAAAAATTTATAACAATTAACCAATAATTAATTCAATACTATGAATAATAAAAATGGGTAGTATAAAAGACTAGCTTTCGAATGAGATAAAAATTGTTAAAATAAGTCGTAAAATACAGTACTTGCAGCTGATTTTCAACTCTTCCACAATTACTTCAAAAACCCGGGAATCGCTAATGGTACTATATTGAATGTGGATATTTCAGAAAGTGATTAAAAACTGTTTTGGCAGTTACAAGTAATTCTAATAGACAGAACTATGTACTTATTTGATTTGCGATTAGTGAGGTGCGCACTATTAGCAGACGCGCACGATTCACAGACTTCCCCTAATTTGGGGTGAAAAAAATTAATTACCGTTAAATAAAAGAAAAATGTAAGGTTAAGACTTTCAGTAATAAAAAGCTAAATATTGAAGGTACGACTACAAAATAAACAATATTCTTCTGTTAAGACCCGAACTGTCGAGGACCCGGGAGTGATCTTCGACAGTGTATTGAGTTTCATTCCCCATGCATTTAAGGTTACAAAAAAACAAGTGTTAACATTGGGTTGTATTACCCGGAATTCCAGAGATTTAGTTAAAAAACATCCACTTTATTACAGTTTAAAACGTGTGTACACACCATTATTGAATACGCTAGTGAAGTGTGATTTCCACGAAGCTGTAGTTTATTCTTCGATGGAGTTGGTGATTTAGGTACATAGTTATTTTTCAATTACCTTTGAAGTAGATTCAAAGTTGATTCCTAAATTCAAATTGTATTTGAACTGGCAGAGTTGATATTTAACACATGGATGCCAACATATTACTTAAGTTTTTCCGTAAATATTTATTTTAAATTATTCAATTTTATAATAAGCCAACACGGAAAATGTTTTATTACTGCAATGAAAACGAGCATACCGACATTCGGTGCCGAATCAAAACGTTCGTTACGCTATGCTCACTTTTCAACACAAGTTGCATAAAGTACTAATATGAATAATTAATTTTGACACGTTTGACACATATATTTTATAATTGCAGTTTGTACTTTGCGGCTGTAGATCTTGCAAGAAAAATTACGCCTCGCCACTAAAATTGAGCAAAATATTGTATCAATATACTGGACCGTTCGTGAAACATACTCCAATCGGGAAGGTAGGGTGGGATTCCGTATTTGGTAGATTACTGGTGCCTTTAGAAACTAAAATAAAGACCAACATAAATTTAAACAATAAAATATAATTAAAATCGTATACAATTTGAAGCATACAGACAGTTTACATAACTAAGAGTAGGTACTATACACAATTACAAAATAATTGCTGTACATAGTTGTGAAAATATATACACATTTTGTATGTCAAATTTGTGAATCTTTGTAAATTAAGACACAAATTTTGTGACAATTTAGTTGTATAAATAAAAAAAAAGAACAAATTTTGTGCATATTTATATATATATATATAAATATAAAACTTGATATGTTCTACCCTACTATGTATAATTTATTATAAAGCTATATGTTATGCATTTGGATACTAATCATCACTGGATGCATCCATCGTTCATCCATTTTTTGTTGCAAGTGGCTCAATTTTTACATTTAGCAGCAAATTTCACTTACTGTATTTAATGAACTGCACAGATATATATGTATTTACATGATTAAATAGACAAAGATAAGTACAAAAGATTAATGGGGTCAATGAATATTTCAATATAAAAACTACGGCTATTCGAAAACTACAAGAATATAATAATATTTTACAAACTGTCAACAAAAAATGTTTCTACATTTTCGCTCTTCGGTACTCGGATGAAAATTGGTTGATGGTCCCTACACATTATTATTACATGGCACAAATCATGGTGATACTGAACAGTATAAATACGCAGTAGTATAGAATACATATGCCGAAAGCTGACGGTACATATTCGTAGTTATGTACAATATCGCCGTTATCGTTACGATGAGTGTTTCAACTGAGTACCAACTGAAGACATTTATTCAACTAATGTACTCACAGAACATACCTGATCACATTCACTACCAACGTAAATTCCCGATTAATTTAATTACGTATATAAAATCTCACTTTCTAGTTTTTGACATTCACATGCTAGTACCATAATCATCTTTACGACTTTATAAGATGAATTAACTTGAAGGCAGTGTCGAACATGTTACAAATCACCAGTATAAAAATTGATCAATATCGACGTATTTTTGAAATTCTTTAAATTTTTTACTTAAATTTCGAATAAATTAAGATCAGATCAAATTAGCCTAATTTGCCACCACAGTCTTTACATTTTACTGGTCTAATAAATAAGAAAGTCTATATACCAGTTATGTGTTTATTTATATATAAAAGTGAAAGTTACTTAGATTTAGTCCACATAAACCCAAAGACAAGCCTGCTTTCCGATGAGGACAAAGTAATCATGTATCTCCGAAGTTCAATATTATACAACTTTTAAAAATAAATAGTTAAAAAAACAACGTAAAAAAATTCGTCTGTACAATCGAATAGTGTCCACCTCGTACAAACTGATGGCACGCAATAGACTAGAGAGCTGTGACCGAGTGGCGAGGGACCAAGGCGGTCACTCAAATGGGCCCATAGTTGCTCAATGACGGTCCTGAACCTTGTGCGGTGTGTGAAACAACTACAGGCGTGGCCCCTTCGCCCGCTTGTCATACATGACTTAAGGGCGGCTGTTTCAAAACATGGTGATGAAGATGGTGCTGACTTGCCGATGCAACACTACCAGCAGGACCTAATAAAGAAGCACTACCGGTACCAGCAACTACATATTGCGGAGGAGTTTTTCCTGGTCGATTTTTTATCAAAACTGCATTTGCTCCACTAGGATCCGGACGCCCAAACAGTCGCCTCCAAAGTCGACGCCAGGAATCTAAGGTTTTTCCCGACCATATCCAAACACCCGAAGTGATGCCAACAGCTAGTGCCATAAAATACTTGAGCATTAAGACAGAGTAAATGGGGCGGACTTTTGCACTAACTAACCGGGATTCAGAACATGTGCAAGCTGCAGACTTCATCCAGTCATCATGGAATGCATTTTCATACAAATGACAACCTATTACTATGGACGCTGGAACTGTGTACAAAACACTGAATATTCCGATTCGTATCATTAATTTCTCTAACTTGTCCGCTTTGGAACCTGCACCGGCACCACCTTGTTTCTTTATAACATTTCTGATTCTAAAAAGCGACACGAAACCAGCGATAAGAAAAGTGGTGCCAACCACTAAATAAATACAATGTGGTGCGAGAACAAATGTGCGCAAATTTTCCATGTTCATATTTCCAACATAGCAAATACCTGACACAGGATCTCCATCGACGGCACCTGAAATCAAAACTGCGACAGTTTGAAGAGTTGGAATTAACCAAGCAGCTAGATGAAAATATTGTGCGTAACTTGCGATTGCTTCGTTACCCCATTTTAAACCTGCAGCTAAGAACCACGTAAACGATAAAATGACCCACCATATTGAAGAAGCCATTCCAAAAAAATATACTAAAAGAAACACTAATGAACAAATGCTTGCTCCTGTAGAAGAATATCGAATAATAGATCCTTCACAGGCGACTTCTTCATGACCGATACCAACTCGAATAAGATAACCTACTGATACCAAAAAGTAACAAGCAGATAAGAACACGATAGGTCTTTCAGGGTATTTGAATCGTTCTGTTTCGATAAAGAAGGTAGTTAGTGTCATTAACGTTGACGCTGCGCATAGGCTCGACCAAAGTGTTATCCAAACCGTGGCGAATTCCTTTTCGTCTTGGTTGAAATAAGTTTCCTTGCAGGGATAGGCACAATTTGCGAGACCTCCTACGCTTCGGTTGTACTGTGGTGAGTCCCTCCCCAGAGAGACTAGAGGGCGTTGACACTGGCACTTGCAGTCTTTCACGCCTCCCTTTCTTCCGTCTCCTGGGGGGTTTGTGCAGTTTTTTGAACCTCTACATTTGGGAAGTTTTACGCGAGTAGGAGGTTTTGCAGTTGAGCTACTACTTGTATTGTTCTCATCCATGCAAAGTTTATCTGGTGAGGCACCAAAAATTGGAAATTGATCACAATCCATACGTTCAGGCCATTTGAAACCATATTTTGTCATTATAGGTTCGCAACCTGCACGAGCTCTCTTACATAAACCTTGGCACGGGGGTAAGGGCATTTTATATCCTTCTAGGCAAATTGGTGCGTACATTGAGCAAAGAAAGAACCTAAGATCAACTGAACATTTAATTTCGACAAGAGGCCAAAACTGATGAACTTCTAAACCAGCTTCCTCTTGTGTTTCATGATTCAGCTCGTTAGGCATTCGTGTCAAATTATATCCGATACTCATGCACATTGGGATCGTTATTTCTTCGCAACGTTCTTCTTGGTTACCATTATCATAACTTGACAACAATGACGAACTAGCCGTCACTAATTTAAGGAGTGCCACGAGTATCGCAAATCTCGTGGTCTCCATTTTAAATCTGGTGGTTTATTATTGATTTTACACCATAAATTATGTGGGTATTTTTCGTTAAAATTTCTTTTTAATTAAATTTCTTTTTAGTATGAAGTCTCAGTTGGTTGGATGTTGTTTCTGTTGACTGACGATGAATATAGTACGCGATGAGGCCATGATACCCTGTAACAATAAATATGCGTCATTAACACAATTACAAAAGGAACTAATGCGGTGTTTATGTAATTGAAACAGTCAATCTTCATTAGTAATTTGTATGTCGTGTTACAAAAACTAAAGGGGTTAAAAATATATATTTATATGCAATATATGTACATCTGAATTATGTATATAAGTTTTAGGTTATATTTCAGGATTGCAGTCTATTATAAAAGTAATTAAACCCTTCTTTTTTGTTCAAGCTTTCGAGACTTCCTTCGTCTCATCCTCAGGAACGAAAATTTTGGTTAACATAAACTATGCATTGACACGTTTACACTTATGAGTTTATGACACATTAAAACCGAAAATACTTATTAACATTTGGATGATTTTTCTTAGCAAGATATAATGAATTCTTCTTTGTAATTCTCCACATAAATCATTTTTTTACCCCTTCCCCCTTAAAAAAAAGTAATAGGGTTACTCGTTCTTAATTCACCAATAAAAAATTTGTGACGACGTCATCAACGTGGATAATACTAGTAACAGCTCAAAAGAAAAGTAGTCACAGCGTATTACCAGTGCAAGAAAAAACAAGGCCACGTATGTCAACTTGGATTGGTGCAGTGTAATTCTAAAAATAACAGTATTGTATTCCCAAAATTTTCTGAGAAAATGGTGAGCCGTTCCTGATTTAATCAATAAAATAAATTGACTCATTCATTGATTTTTTGCCCCATCTGTTTTTGCAAAACTAAAAAACATGAATACAATTATAAATCACAAGTAAAAACTCATCATATTTTGCACATTTTTGGATACAATTTATTCGGCAAAATTTTGCGATGCCGTCATAAATTTTTTCGGAGGAATAAACAGATATGTTTTGATTAACAATTTACCAGGCTTACAATAAATTTAACGCGTCTGCAAGAGTTCAAACGGTGTGGACTGTTAATGTACAGGCAAAGACGCATGCTCTGCGTAAATTTCTAGTGAGCTTTTCCATAACAAAATTTGTCGACTTGTCATGCAAGATTGTAGAGAATTCGGTTCTGCAGTCTCAAAATTAAACTGTTGAATGTTGTTATACAATTTTGATTTTTTTTTTTTAAATCTTAGAGGTCTAGAATAAATAATGAACGGCTTCATAACCCACACGTGTCGGATGATGTTACTGTATAAAATTTCAATAAAGTTCTGTATGCAAGATTTTGAAGTGACGGTATCATAATGCTGGTTGGGATGATCAGACAAATTTTGAATAGTTTTACCGTCTACACGATATTCCTAAGATACATATAAAACTTCAAAACAATGTGTGCAGTTACTTACTTATTAATTGACTTTTACTTACGTACGGTAAGTAAAAAAACCTCTGCATTCAATAATTTAAACCCATTTTATGCCTGTATTTGAAATATTCAGGTTGGAAGCAATTTTATGATTAAAGTCAATACATTCCTGAGGTGGCTAAAGTGACAGATTTAATTGTATTCGAATGATGTCTTACACACGTACACGTTGAATAAATATTTATTTAAATTAGGAACTGTACGAAAGAACAACTTTAGACCTTGACTTGAAGAGCGCTCGTTTGTTGAACGAGGATAAAGATATGCGTTCTAATGTCACAAAACGAGAAAGCAATCAGGTGAAATTTAAAAGCTGAAAGTTTTGTTATTCTATAGGCAGGACCGTATTTACCTATAAGCAGAATAGGCGGTCGGTCCCCAACACAGCAAAATTCAGACATGCATGTTATAATAGAACTTAGCATACTTGATATATGCGAGTTAGCTCCCACGGGCGGTTTTTGACCCTCCGCCGAAAATGAGTACCTACCTATAGGTAGGTAAATTGGCCGTGATGGTGCGGGGCACCGTCTCTTTATCAAACAACAAACTCCATGTTAAGTTTCATTCCGTCTTTATTCCAGTTAAAACTCCGCGGCCTTATGGCTTAAGAATGGATAGACACTGAAATTCTGTATAAGCCAATATTTTTGCGCTCCAAATATAACGCATACAGTACATCTTTTTTAACAGTAGCCATAGGGATTCCCATGTTAAATTTTATACCCGATGTTAACTTATGTTTGAGTAAAAATTTAGAGTTGAAATTTTTACTGGATGTAATGTGGGTTATCTTTCGTCGAATTTATAAAGGACATGTTTTAAATTAAAGGATATTTCTTTAAAAAAATTAAAATATTTGGCTATTTTGTCGGTAATATTGCAGGCAGCCATGTAAAAACAGACATTTACCTGACGTTTCTAACTTTCGATTACTGGTTTTTAGTGACCGAAATTCGTCAACATGCCCCAGCACACAGCACAACACAATTAAAGAAAAAGTACAAATGGTCACTGATTGATACATTAAAGCCTTATCGACAACTGAGAAACTGCACAAAATTTTGCTGCACCATTACCACATCGCTCCATACCCGGCAAGAGCACATTTTGAAAATTTTACGGCAGTTATAAACACAGGTTTTTTCTATCGTGGACATTAAAAACGTAATTTTAGTGAAGTTATCTTTTATTTTCTTCATTTATGTTTGAATTCCATCATTCTGTTTCTTTTCTAAAAACTGCAATAAAGGTAATAACGATTAAATTAAAATTATGCTGTCAAAAATGCCAAGTTACAATGATAACTCAAAACCTATGATGTACAAAAATTTTGTAATCAAAATAATTTTTATTTTTTAAAGCACAAAATAACAAATTACTGCAAGAAGGTGTAATGGAAATTTAAGTAGAACCTTAAGGCTATTTTCTCCCCAAAAATCATCTCCGGGTTTTCACCCTAATAAAAGTTAAAATGGGGTTTAAAATTTAACATGAGAATCCCTATGGCCACTTTTAAAAAAGATGCACTGTATATAAGACGTCGGCGTCTTGACGGAAACCTATATTTTACTAAATAATTATTGTAACGTAATTTTTATAATGGAGCTTGATAGACCGTTAAGTTTTGATTACAACTGCGTTAAACGCATACATATTTGTTTCATTTTATGGTGAAAAAAATTGGTTGAAAGTTGTTTCGACAGAATTTCCTTCAGCCCGAAAGTATTACAATGAAACATATTCAGCATTTTCGAGTTCAGTTTTTCTTTTGCACAATTTTGTGACAACGTCATCAACATTTTTCCAAGGACACGTATATCAACTTTGCTTGGTGCAGTGTAATACTAAATTGACAGTATTGTATTCCCAAAATTTTTTGGAAAAATGGAGTGAGCCGTTCCTGATTTAATCAATAAAATAAATTGACTCATTCGTTAGTTTTTTAAGCCACCTGTTTAAGCAAATCTGAAAAATATGAATGGAATGATAAATCACAAGTAAAAACTCGATCATACTTTGCACATTTTGGGTAGACTTTATTTGGTAAAATTTTGAGATGACGTCATCTTTTTTTTTAGGGAATAAACAGATATATTTTGCCAATTTACCATGCTTAAAGTAACTTTAAAACGTCTGCAAGATTTCAAAGTATTCAGTTTTGCAATTCTTATTATTTATTCAATAAAATAAATTGACGGATTCATCAAGTTTTTGGGTCATTTGTCTTTGTCATAATTTTTTTTGAGACCTGTATAAGCAAATCTACAAAATGTTAATGCAGTGATAAATCACAAGTATAACTGATGACATTTTGCACATTTAAGATTTTTTCAGCAATATTTTGAGGTGACGTCATCAATTTTTTAGGGGGGGATTAGCAAATACATTTTGATAAAAAATTGATCATGGTTATCATAACTTAAAAATATCTCCAAGATTTCAAAGCATTCGGTTTTGCAGTTCCTGATTAAATTAATAAAATAAATTCACGCATTCATTAATTTTTTTGAGTCAACCTGTCTAAGCAAATCCAAAAAGTATTAAAACCACAAGTATAGACTAATTATATTTTAGATATTTTGGATAGGATTTATTCGGCAAAATTTTGAGCTGACGTCATCAACTTTTGGAGGGGATAAGCAAATATATTTTGAATGCAAATATCTGCAACATTTCAAAGCATTCGGTTTTTGCAGATTCAGAATTAAATTGCAAAATGTTTTATAATATGATCTAGAAGTTTCGGGTAAAAACTGGACACGGTATCATAAACTACATGTGTAGGACTATGTTATTTTGTACGATATAAAACCCATTTACTATGTACAATTTTGAAGTGACGTGGTGATTAGACAAATTTTGGTTAGTATTTCTCCATCTACATGATATTCCTAATATAAATAAAAAAATTGACTAATAATCGGCCCAGTACTTATTTAATCTGTCTAATAAAAATCCGGGACGACAGACAGACGGATGACTTCAGCTCAAAACTTTGCCGAATGAATCGTATCTAAAATGTCCAAGATTTGATGAGTCTATACTTATGATTTATCATTCCATTCATAGTTTTTGGATTTACTTATACAGGGTGACTCAAAAAATTAATGAATGCGTGAATTTATTTTATTGGGTTAAATAGGAACTGTAGAACCGAATGCTTCGAAATCTTGGAAATGTTGTAGTTATCATAAGTATTCAATCAAAATGTATTTGCTTATCCCCCCCCCCCCAAAGATTAATGACGTCACCTCAAAATTTTATCCAACAAATTCTATCTTAATTGTGCAAAATATATATCTATACTAGTGATTGATTTATCACTGCATTAATGTTTTTTAGATTTGCATTTATATGGGGTGCCTCAAGGAAATTAATGACTGAGTCAATTTATTTTATTGATTAAATCAGGAACGGCTCCTCCATTTTTGCAGAAAATTTTGGAAATTCTAGTATTACACTGCACCAATCCCAGCTAATATACGTGTCTTTGCAAAAATGTTGATTACGTCATCACAAAAAGTGTAAAGTAAAAACTCGGCTCGAAAGTGCTGGATATGTTTCATTTTACTTTAGGTGCGAGGGAAATTCTGTTGAAACAACTTTCGAACAGTTTTTTACATTTTTTTTAGACATATACAGGCTAATTTTTTTAACCTGAAA